CCCAACCTTCCTTCCGAGGAGTGGCTGGTGGATTTGAATCGCCAGCCATCTGGTTAGCAGGCAAGTGTCTTAGCCACTATGCTACCAGAGCTCAGGGTTGAACTAGCTCTAGGAAGAAGCCCAGCTGGATTACACCTGATTCTAGTCTTGCACGACCCTTGATTCTAGTCTTGCATGACCCTGAGCAGAGAACCAATCATGCCATTCCAGAATCCAACCTCCGGAACTGTCAGGTAACACATGGGTGCTGTGTTAGCCTCTAAGTTTGTAGTGCTTTGCTACACAATAATGGAAAACTAATACAGATTTGTTCAACACAGGCTAAAAAGCTAACTGCTCGTTTTAACCACATATCTTTATTTATTTAAAAAACACACCCTAAGTAATATCTCTCATATCTTGAACTTCTAGGGTTTTATTTAGTCATTAACTTCACTGCTGTCGAGTCGGATCCGACTCATAGCAACCCCTCCTTGGGTTTCCGAAGTGGTATCTCTACGGAAGTAGATTGCCCAATCTTCCTTCCGAGGAGTGGCTGGTGGGTTTGAACTGCCAGCCTTCTGGTTAGCAGTCATATATCTTAGGCACTATGCTACTAGAGCTCCTTATTTAGTCATTAGAGAGTTTAATCCTTATATTTCTGAGTTCCCCAAGATCACTCAACAGAAGAGAAGTCATTGCTGGCTTTTAGAACCAAGGCTACAGAACTATCGTGGCAGGAGTGGCCATGGAGTAAATGCCTTCAAAAGCCAGGCCACGGCATCAATGAGTGAGGAAGGCAGGCTGAAGGACAATAAGGAGCAGTGGGGAGTGTGTCAAACTGGAGAGCATGTTCCCCACCTAAGGGGGGGGGGGAGCCAAACAACTACAACAAAACTGCTAGCCAGTTGTGTTCTTTGCCCTCTTAGTGGCTGCTAAGTTCCATCTGACAGTAGTCATGTCCTGTTGCTGTTCATTCACTCATTCATTCATTCATTGACTGCCAGACATTGATCTATGTATAGAGCTAGAGCTGTATACGGGAGCTCTGGTAGCATAGTGGCTAAGGCACTTGACTGCTAACCAGAAGGCTGGTGGTTCAAACCCACCAGCCACTCCTCGGAAGGAAGGTTGGGCAATCCTACTTCCGTAGTGATACTGCCTCGGAAACCCAAGGAGGGGTCGCTATGAGTCGGGGCCGACTCGACGGCACATAACAACAACAACAACAACAGAGCTGTATACAAAACAAATTCTTTGCCCCAATGAAATGAAGATTTTCCTGGGAAATCATTTACTTCAAGTTTTTAAGCAAAGCTAGAAATCTGGGTTTTGACCAGAATTTGGAAACCTTTTTTTAAAAAATAACTGTAAGTAAAAGAAAGTCTTATGTGGGCCAAACACCACCACCACCAACAACTGGCAGCCAGTGTGTTCTCTGCCCTCGGCTGTCAAAGCGGAATGTCAGTGTGCGGTGCCCACACAGCCCAGACAGACGTGTATGCGCAGGAGAGACCACTCAAGGCAGGGGCGGGCTATGATTTCAAGGTTTGGGTGTCATGGGCACTAAAAGGAAAGCAGTCTGGAACTTCTCCCCCAGAGAGAAGGTTCTGGAACAGTCTTCCAACTTAGGAGTGTGGTGATGGGGGCCAGGTACGGGTACGACCGGAATGTTCCTGTCCTTCAAAAAAGGTCCACAGCAGGCTCAGGAGTCCAGCGGCCCCTCCCCACCCCCACCTGGGGAAAGGAGCCATTTGTTGATACAATGAGTTAAAGTGACAATTCTTAAGTTGCCTCAGAACTAGCATTTTATGACAATGAAGAGAAAGGGCGACCGGCTGACCGGGTCTGCAGGCCCACCGCCAGCCTCTCCTTGCTTGATACTTTTATTTTTAGTTTTAGCAATCTCTGGCCAGGCTCCAGTTCCCAAGGATACTCTGAGGCTAGAACTAGAAGCCTGCTAAGCTCTCTTGGGAGTCTGGTGGATGGAGTGGGAAGTCCTGCACTCAGTCAGCCACCCTGAACTGCAGCACCACAAGAATGTTAGGAGAAAGAGAAGAACGCGTCTTGGCTGAGCTGGCGTCTGGGAGGGCCGCGGGGAGGTGCGGCTTCCTGAGAGTTAATGAATTCCAGCTACGTCAACAGTCCCGAATCACAAACAAAGGTAGCCAATTGAGTGTAACTTCTGGACAAGGGCACATTGCTCTTTAAGATTTTTCCCATTGATTCAGTGCCAGGTGGGGACACAGGCTTTCTGGTTTGCTGCTCTGTGCTTAAGGAGCCCTGGTGGTGCAGTGGTTAAGTGCTTGGCGACTCACTGAAAGGTCAACAGTTCAAACCCACCAGCTGCTCGGCAAGAGAAAGATGTGTCCATCTGCTTCCTGTGAAGCTGACAGTGTTGGAAACGCCGTGGAGCCTTCTGCTCTGTACAGGGCTGCTATGAGTCAGAATAGACTCTATGGTTTGGTTTATTAGGGGTTTGGTTTATTCTGCCCTTGCCAGAGCCAGGGGCCCAATGCTGCTTGGCTTGGGGAGGTGGAGGGGAAAAAAATGTATTACTTTGTCCTTTCCACTATTATTTTAATGTTTAAGATAGAGCTGTTAAGAGCTTATTTCTTGTCAGAAACCTTGCCTGAAATTAGAGGCTCCACTGCCTCTGGGGGAGTCCGTAGGTAGTGGAACTGGTTAACATGCTTGGCTATTAACTGAAAGGACGGGGGTTTGTATCCACCTAGAAGTGGCTTAGAAGAAAAGACTGGTGACCTGCATCCACAAGGTCACAGCCATGAAAACCCAGGAGCTCAGTTCTACTCTGACACACGAGGGCTTTCCATGAGTCGATGGCACAGCAACCTGTTTGATTTTGGTTGGTTCCTTCCGGAGGAGTCCTTCGTGGTGCAGTTAACACGCTGGCTGCTAACTGCAAGGCTGGAGGTTCCCTTTAGCTGGTTTGTGTTGAATTTCCATCACTCAACCCTGAAAGACGCCAATCCCCCTTCCACTGTGTTACACACTGCTTTGGGACAGGCAGGCAACGCCGGTGAGTGACAATGGCAGTGTAATGGACAAAAAAGGGCAGTGAGGAGTGTGGCAAAGTGAAGAGTCATTTGCCATCTAAAGAGAACAGTTCCCACCCTACCCAGCCCACACCGTGGAGGGACAAAGCCTGCTTGGCTCATCAGCAGGACTGTTAGGGACTTGTTTCTGACTCTGAGGGACTTGAATTTTCCCAACTTATTTATTTTTAAAACAAAACCACTCCTTTGATCTTATCTTACGTGTGGCTTAACATGATAGGTGCCTTTCTCGATACTCCTTATCACTCAAAGCCAAACCTGATCCACTGCCACCAAGGTGATTCTGACTCCTAGTGACCGTTTAGGGCAGAGAGAAATGCCCCATAGGGTTTCCAAGGCTGTAAATCTTTACAGAAGCAGACTGCCTCATCTTTCTCCCACAGAGCAGCCAGTGGGTTTGAACCACTGACTCTTCGGTTACAGCCGAATGCTTTGACCACTGCACGACCAGAGCTCCTTTCATCACTCAGGGTCTCACTGAACCCTTGTTTCCTCTCCAGACTAAATCAGAGTTCTTATTTCTGTGTCTTCCTACATCTTTTTCTTGAGATGCTTCCAGACATCAGTCCATTTTGGTAGGAATCTTCACCTACAGGACTCCTTCAAGGACCATGTCAGAGGCCCCCAGCTCCAGCACGACCTTTCTTGACTCTCCCGAAGAAAGGATGTTGCTGTTGGTCACTGCCAAGCTGATTGCGACTCGTGGTGACTCCGTGTGTGCAGAGCAGAACTGCTCCACAGGGCTTTCAAGGCTGTTACCTTCGGAAGCTGATCACCAGGCATGTCTTCCGATGTGCAAATGGAGGAGTTCAAGTCACCAACCTTTCCACTAGTCGTCGGGCGCTTACTCGTTTGTGCCGTCCAAACCTGAGGCCTGTATTTGGTGACGGTGAGGACAACGACAGAGCTTCACCCCTGCTGGAATGAGGGGAGTGTCTGACATTAGTTAGCTCAGTGAGCCGAGCAGGCACTAGCAGGCGTGCGATAGTAGAAAAGGAAGTGGGGTCTTGCGTCAGGAAGACCCAGCTTTGCCCCTCACCAGCAGCATGGCCTCAAGGTTAGTGCTATCACTCCTCTTGCACATGGTTTCTCATCTGACCCTATAACCAGCCTATGAGATACATATTCTTCTTCCCAGTTTGCAAAGAAGAAGGCTGAGGCAAGGACTGACTGCCAAAGGTAATCTGTGCCCTCTGAGCCTCAGTGCACCTGTGCGTAGCATGGGCATCCCGCCACCTACCTCCCTGTGTGTCATGAGAGTTGAGGGCAGTGACATCCAATGACAGAGCAGGCATCCCTGGATGGCTGCTGCTTTTATTTCTTCTTTTTACTGTCGGTGGAGACTAGAGACCGGGGGGATCATGAGTTTCAACAACACGCTCCTACAGAGTCATTAGAAACAAGCGGCTTTGCAAAGCAGAGCAAAATTCCTGGGAAATCCCACAGCAAGGGATAGACATCTGGGCCACGCTGTCGGGTCAGCACACCGTTCGCACGCCCAGGCATCTCCAGGACGTTACCAGTCATCCAGGGACCCTGGAACCTGCAGCAGCTTGTCTGCGGTCTCTGATGTGCGAACAGGGCAGTGGGCCACTCTCCCGAGCTGTTAGTGGGGCCTGCTGGTTTCCATCTTTTAAAGTTCAGGCAAGTCTGGCTCGGCACACAAAAGGGGGAGTCTGTTAGTGAGGAGGGGTGGGAGGCTGGAGCTGGGTTCTTGGCTGCTCTGGGGCCCTAAGTGGGAGCCAGGTTCTTCATTTGCTCCTGGGATGTGGGGAGCTCTGCGTGCCTGGAGGGTGCCGATCGGCGCACTGTTTCCTTCCAGGATCCAGGTCAGAGTCACTGGCATTAGTCAGCCAGGTGCTGGGCGTGCTCCACATTAGGAGGGGAGACAGCTGTGAGTCAGAGGGCTCAGGGGCCATGGGGAAGGCTCTCTGAGGCTTGGATGGTATCTTTTTTCTCTAATGCTGCTATAGCAGAAATACCACAAGGGGGTGGCTTTCATAAACAACAATTTCTTTTCTCACAGTTGGGAGGCTCGAAGTCCAAATTCGGGGTGTTGCCTCTAGGGAAAGGCCTTCTTTCTCTGTCAGCTTTGGGGGAAGGTCCTTGTCTCTCACGAGCTTCTGTTCCTCAGGGATCTTCAAGGGGCTTGACATCCACCTCCCCCCATCTCTGTCTTTTGCAGCTTGCTTCATCAGGTCTTTTATATCTCAGAAGAGACTGCCCTAAGACACACCTTAAACTAATACTTGCTCATTAACATAACAAAACCCATTCCCAAATAGGATTATATCCACATTATAGGGGTTAAGATTTGAAAAACATTATTTTTGAAGGACAGGATTCTCTCTCTAAAAGGCAGCCCCCTCCCCCTACTCCTAGTACTTGTCACACGGCTTCAGGTCTGGAAATACTTCCTCGGTGCCTGATTTTCCTTGTCTTGAGGACACAGAAGGAATAGCATTGACTCTACTTGTTGATTTCAGGGCACAGCTGCTGTTGTATTTACAGGTTCTTTGTGGGTTGGGGGAAGCCCTTTTGAAATAATTTTGGTACTGGGCCATGCAAATATGTTGTTGTTACTAGAGGACGTTTGGTTAGCCCCTGACTCACGGAGACCCACGGGCAACGGAATGGATTACTGCCCCATCCTGTGGCCTTCCATGACCAGTCACAGAGTCGAACACTGGGATCCACGGGGTGTTCACTGGCCGATCTTCAGAAGGAGACCCCCAGGCCTTTTTTCCTAGTCCGTCTCAGTCTGGAAGCTCCTGCTGAAACCTGTTCAGCATCAGAACAACTTGCAAGCTTCTGCTGACAGAGGGGTGGGGGCTGCACATGAGGTGCATCGGCTGGGAATCGAACCTGGGTCTCTTGCACGGAAGGCGAGAGTTCTACCACTGAACCACCACTGCCTCACCCGCAAATATAGAAAGTACAGATTCTCTCTGACTGGCTGCTACGGTGGAGAAGCTGGAACAAAACCAGAAGGGGAAGTCAAGACCCCGTTTCTCATCCAAAAACGAAGAGCAAACCGTCAGTTCCTAACGTTACCCCCTTGTGAAGCTCAGGCTTCCCTGTTTTGTTTTCCTTCTGAATCTCAATCCTATGGTTTCCCCTCCACAACCTCTAAAAGGTTCCTTTTCATCCCACTGCCCGTGCCTCAACTCAACCCTCACACTCCTTCCCTAAATACTGGAGTAGCCCCTTAACCGGAATCCATGTCTTCCTCCTTCTTCATTCTACTCCCCTATTCAGCCCTGAGGAGCTCTGGTAGCATAGTGCCTAAGGCACTTGACTGCTAACCAGGAGGCTGGCGGTTCAAACCCACCAGCCACTCCTCGGAAGGAAGGTTGGGCAATCCTACTTCCGTAGTGATACTGCCTCGGAAACCCAAGGAGGGGTCGCTAGGAGTCGGGACCGACTCGATGGCAAATAACAACAACAACAACATTCAGCCCCGATCATGTATGTGTCTCTCCTACAAAATCCTTCCGTCGCTTTCTGATGGCCATTAAATCCAGTCCAAACTCCTTCCTCCAGCACCTAAAACCAAAAAACAAACCCACTGCTGTCCAGTCAATTCCAGCTCACAGAGACCCTATAGGACAGAGTATAGCTGCCCCATAGGGTCCGACTCGACGGCACACAACAAAAACAACAACAACATAGGGTTACCAAGGCTGTGAATCTTCACAGAAGCAAACTGCCTCATTTTTCTCCTGTGGAGCAGCTCATGGGTTTGAACTGCCAACCTTCTGATTAGCAGCTGAACTCTTAATCACTGCACCACCAGGTCCCAACCCACAACAATAGGAGTAATAAATCCTAACCCACTGGCATCCAGTGGGTTCTGACTCATGGGGACCCATGTTACAGAGTAGATCTTGGTTGTGGTCTTCATGGAAGCAGACTCTTAGGTCTTTCCTCCACGGCCCCAGTGGGAGGATTTGAACTGCCAAACTTTTGGTGAGTAGTTAAACACAAACTGTTTGCACTTCCAGGGACCTGTTCACCAATATAATCCCTTTTAATCTTTGTAGTTCTTTTTGCCCTTATTACACTCCTACCTAAGCTGTATGCTTAACGGTCCCCTCGTGTCTTCCCCATCTCATGCTGTTTCTTGACCTTGAGGTGCTTTTTATCTACATTTCTCACGTTGCACCAAGTGCTAGTGGGCAGCCCTGGTCTGGACCATGCCCCTCCACGGCAGCCACAGGCTCTGCGTGCTGTCCCCTCTGCCCGGAGCACTCTGTCCTCCCCTCTTTGCTTATTTAAAGTCCCCTGATAAGTGCACATGGTTCTTTTTCGGCTACTAGCCAAAAGGTTAGGAGCTCTGGTAGCATAGTGGCTAAAGCACTTGACTGCTAACCAGAAGGCTGGCGGTTCAAACCCACCAGCCACTCCTCGGAAGGAAGACTGGCCAATTTACTTCCATTGACATACCGGCTTGGAAGCCCAAGGAGGGCTTGCTATGAGTTGGAAGCAACTTGACTGCAGTGAGTTTGGTTTGCTTTTTTCACCAGCTCTAGCTTCAGCTTCAGCTTTATGAAAATTGCTCTCTGTGTCTTTTCTGGAAAGATATTTAATGGTGACCACATGAGAGAAGAGCCTTGCTCAACCCCAGCTGGAGAGGTTGATTATATGCTTTCCGGTACCATGTTTGCCATAATGGGAAAATTGCCGAGAATCCCACCTCTCACCCTTCCTTCAGGATTTCTGTTGGCATAGTGGTTAAAGCATTAGGCTGCTAACCAAAGCAGTCAGCAGTTCAAACTCACCAGCTACTCTGTGGGAGAAAGATGAGGCAGGCAGTCTGCTTCCGTAAAGATTTACAGCTTTGTAAACTCGATGGGGCAGGTCTACTCTGTCCTATAGTGTTGCTGAGTTGGAATCAACTCCGTGGCAGTGGGTTTGGTTTTTACTTTTGCCCTCCCTTCCTCCCTGCCTTGTTATCTCCCATACTTCCTGATTCTCCTGAGTCAGGCCAGACTGAACTGATCTTGGGAAATAACTTGTCTTTTCTGCTGAAGTAACTCATCTCTCCTTGGCATCTGGCCACAAGCTCCCTTCCAACAGCAATGCTGTTAAGGCCTCACATACAGCCACTTGTATTTCATGAGATAGGATTTATATTTTGCTAAATCCCACCAGTTACAGAGCTGTTGCGAGGAATGTTACTCTCTGCTTTAAGAGCTCCCATGGAGGCCCCCAGGGGAGGAATGTGGTACAAATTCAGTTATGATATTCTAGTTGTTAAAGTCCCTGCTCACTGCCTGGAGCGCTAGGCTCCTGAGCACTTCTGGGGGGTGCCATGCTGGGTATGCAGGGTCCTCCTGCCTGTGACCTGGTTCACATTGAGCTGGTCCGGGATCCAGAGCAGTAGGAGGGAGGCTGGGGAGTGGCGCTGCAGGGCACTCTGCCAACATTCTTCTTGCTGGAACAGCAATGGGGCAACAGCCGGGGGTTTTACAGCCACAAGTTTTCTTCCCAACTAAACTCTCTATTTCTTGAGGGCAAGGCCTACCTTGAACTTCTTTTGCACCCTCCTAGGCTTCTGGTGAAGAGCTGTGCACACAGCAAAGGCCCTTCAATTGCTGATTCTTGTTGTTCCTAGTTGCCACGTTGCCCTTGAGTGGGCTCTGACTTACGGAGACCCCGTGGACAACGGAACAAAATGTTACCTGGTCCTGTGCCATCTTTGCCACTGTTGGTAGGTTTGGGTCCACTGTTGCAGCCACTGTGTATGGCCTAGTGCCTAAGGCATTTGACTGCTAACCAGAAGGCTGGTGGTTCAAACCCACCAGCCACTCCTCAGAAGGAAGATCAGGCAATCTATTTCTGTAGTGATACCTCCTTGGAAACCCAAGGAGGTGTTGCTATGAGTTGGATCCGACTCAACGGCAGTGAGTTGGGTTTTGGTTTTTGGTTTCCAACT